CACTTAATCCAACAATGTAGCTCACTACCTTATTTTAACCCATTATCTGACATGTGCACTCTTGAAATAGGGTCTTGCTTTTCTTTCCTCTCCCTTCCACCCTCCTGCACTCTATCACCAAAGTAAATTTTCAGAAAGGCTTCTCTCATAATGCCTATCTTGAGTTCATAATCTTCCACTCAGTTCACATGTTATGAAAGTAAAAAAATCCCATCTCCTTTGGCTGATGGTTAAGAGCCTTTGCAGAACTCAACCCATCTTAGCAATTGTCCCACTCATTGTCCTGTAAGTTCACTGCAGTGGTCCCACTTCAGCATCTGTTTATGTTGTCTCCCCTCTCCCAGAACGCTGAGCTCTCCTTGATTTTGCCCTTTTTCCCAAGCCTGACACTGAGCTCCACCTCTGGAAACACTCCTAGGACACTTGATCCTTACCGAGTTTTCATTGCTTATCACTTGCTTCTTTATATCACTATGAACTTTCTACATTTATATGTTCAAGACTTTGCACCTGGGTGCTTACTCTCCTCTCCTGGAAGAGAATCCTCCTGGTGATGCTTGCCTGCCCCAGTTTTCAGCAACCGTCTCCAGAGTGCCCGAATGCCTGGCCTGAGGTCAGTGGGATGACTGGGGTCATCCATATTTAGATTCGAGGCATTTTCCAGTGAGGGAAAGAGACAGGCTAATTTGAAAGTCTAGTTTTGAAAGTAGGAATGAAGAAAGACAGCTTTTGCCACATGCTCTAGAGAGTATACTGTGCAATAAAATGAAAGGCATTTTTCTCTCTTCTGTCTTTCTCTGTCTCAGTTTTTAGAACCAATTTCTGCAGTTCTTATACAGACATATTTTCTAGTTTCTCCCAGAAGCTATTTTCTCCTTCCTTCTTTTCATCCCCCCAAGCATACATCCTTCATCATCTAAGACTTTTTCTCTCCCAGATCATCTGAACAAAATGATTTATTTCATTTTCTAACCTTTTCTCTCTTTTCAGTTGTAATGTTTGATTTTCTTTTTTATGTATGTATTCCCTAAACTCCATTTTTGTTCATTCATATTCTCTTATTGAGTCAAGAGACACTTCCCCTTCTGTTTTCCTTCCCCCTAAACAGTTCATCATTAAAGGCACTGACATTTCTATACAGAGAACATCTTACATTCAGGTTACCACAGGGCAGTAGTTTCTTTTTATTCCTCATATGTTCCCAGTCAGTTATAATTTCCTGTACATTTTTGATATTGTCTGAATGTTTATTTGAAATTTAAGATAAGGCTTTATAATAAATTATTTTACAGTGCTCAAGTTTACAGTCAAATATTCTATATTAACCACTATTTACATATAAGCTTGATTACTGTTTTTAAATGGCTTTGCGGTGATAATTAATGAATGCTTTCATTTGTTTTTCCCTTAAAGTCCTGCCATTTAAATCTCTTGTATCTAAAGGAAAATGTTGCCATAGTTATCCACATGATATGCAGTAAGCAGTATTGTCAGATACTTCTAGAGGATGGGGACTGTTGCAATTTTTAAAATAAATGGATGCCTGTTTTAGCCATGTAATCGCATCAACTCCTTCTCAGATGAAGTAGTCGATTTCCTTCCTTCTGATTAAAACAAGTTCTTGATGGAACCGTCCTAATCTTGTGGACTCTATTTCCTCAGCACTATAATAGAAAGGAAGAAACTCAGAACAGTTGCCCAAATTTGAATTTTCTATCCTGGGATAGAACCCTTTCTGGGAGAGGAAGGGGGAAATGAGGTGCATAACATTTAGGTGAATATTTTTCCTGCCAGTACTCAGCTGGTCCTTCTCCATGCTAGCAGTAATTTAGCCCTGACTGCTACCAGGAAAGTCAAAACCCTTCTACCCTGAAAGATTCCCAGGATGCAAATGCAAAATTCATTCCTGTGAAGAATCCTACTTTTTGTTTTTTAAGGTATGGTTTGAAACTGTGCTTCTATTTTTATTTATTTCTGCTTTTGTCTTTGTTTTCTGGTATTTACTCTACTCAGATTTTGAATGTATATGCTATAGCTTGCAGGGACTTTCGCTTTTTTTAGCTAAGTAGCCTGGACTCCTTTTGAAGTACGACAAGCTTGAAGGATTTCATATATTTTGGCATTCTATATCATACCTTGTCTTAGCTTGCTGCATTTTCAGGAATTGAGTAAAATGAAGACAATAACAATACGAATAATAGTTTATATTTATCGAGCACTTATTGTATGCAAGATGCTGTTCATGACATTTTATACAAATTACCCCAGTTCTTATTCACAATGATCCTATGATGTATGTACTATTGTTATAATATCCATTTTCAGATGAGGAAACTGAGGCATGAAACCAAACAGTTTGCTCAAGGTAGCCCAGATCCACCTGGGGTGGGGGGCTGTGATTAAAATTGGGCTCTATTTCTATTATTTTATTCACTACCTCATAATAAAGTTACAGTGACAGAAAAGATAAGAATATTTTCATGTGGTGGCAAGGACTCCTTGACTAGATAGAGGATAGAATTGATCTTCCAAATTTAGTTAGTTTAATTTCTGACTCCCTAAAATGGTTGGTGAGGTGAGGAAGTGGGATTATTTATTGGATGCTGAAATTCCACTCCCCAGCTTTCTCCAAGAACATCAGGGCTTTAATGGGGATATAATGCAGTTACTTCAGAGAAGTGTGATTCTTTTACTTTATTGAGAATTCAGTATCCCAAAGGGAATCTGGTGGCACGGTATTAAGTAGTTAGTAGGAAAGGGGAGTTTTGGAGAGAGGACAATGAAGTATTTTATATTAAGCCCATGGCGAGAGGATCATACTGACTATTGTAGTTGGTTAACATCATCCAGTTAAAATTATTCTTGAAACACGCAAGTAGCCTTATTCCTTGCTTGTGATATTTGCTATGATTTCACAGTCTTGAAAATACAAACTTTGGAAGTGCAAGCCCTACATGGTTACATACTTCTTTTTGGGATCATATGCACGTTCATGACAAATGCAGTGAAGTGGGTAATGGTGTCCCTTTACGGAAACATAGGTCCAAGGACAAGGTTGTTCCCTTGTGTGAATAATAAACGAGCGTGGGAGTAAATAATAAGAATAGCACTTGGGCTTTTAATGTAGAATAGCCTTGCTCTAAAAACCTAAGTTTAGTGCTCTAAATGATGCTCTAAACTGGAAACATGCCTTGACTTCAGAACCTAAGGAATGAGGATATATAGCACAGCATTTGAAACCAATACTTAAAAACTCTTAAAGGTCTTTCAATTGTCAAAATTACCGTTTAACGTAATTCTGATATTTTTCTTAAACCAGGTCATCCTAGTCTCTTCTGACGGATAGAAACCTCAGGACTGTGCTCACTTCGATCGTGTTCAGTGGCTCTTTAGTGCTGTG